TGGAAAAATGAAGTTCTGCAGTGATTATGAGTGCTGGCATTTTTAGATACTGTACATTGTAAAAATAAGCTAGAAACAATTGGCAAATGGCAGCAGTTTATAATTCACTCAGAAATTAATTCCACAGAGTAGCATTTTTTTTATGTGTAAGTCAAAGAACACAATGCTTGTCGAAACATTCGTATTTTACACAATAGTGCTACAATGACAAATATTGTTCTGTTTATTGTGTTTTAACAAATGTGAACTATGTAAAAAGCTAGATAACCCTAATGCAATATTTGTCACAGTCGTTGTACAAGCATCAAGATACAATAATGCCATAAGTGCCATTAAAGCTAAATGACACCTGAAGAAGGCTCCACAGCCGAAACGTTGTGTTTTCTTTCTTCTTTTTTTCAGCATGGAATAAACCTATTACTTGTTCCATTAAAGCTAAATGTTCAGTGTCTCACAATCACAGACATTTTCTTTTCACGAAATGGCTCTTTTGTAGCCATTCATGTGTTTTTTCTGTTGATTTCACCCCGGAACTGACAGTCTGGCTTTGTGGTCATGGATTACATTTCTTTGGGCATGTTTGAAAATAGCTTTGGAATGCTATTTTAAAGCCACCTGACAAGCGTTTAGAAAACAAAGTGAAAATAAGTCCAGCTGACAAACTTTAAATACTTTCTTCACAAAAGCCCCGTTTCCACAAGTTTCAAAATAATGGTTTAGTCTGTCTTGATTAAAATTATTTTAAACTAATGCAAAAACACGCACTGTAAATGTAAGACACTTACAGTATCTACTGAATTATTTTTAAAATAGTGTGCATCATAATAAAAAACAAAAATGATTTTAGATATGACTTAGTGATATTTCACATGAAGATAAACATCTAAGCTTTATAGATATAATTATAAAATATGCTAAAATGTTAGAAATTCTGCCTTCTAATTTAAATTTATAGGTGTAAATTTGTCACAAATTAGAGTACTTGTAGTGTTGTGTAAACCATAGTTAATTTGCTTTTTATAAATATACCCATATATACTGAACTATTGATTGGCTCATACTTCCAAGCAAAAAATTTAAAATAAGAGTAAGAGAATGTGAATCTGATTTGATAACATGCAGTAATTTAACATGAAGATCAAAGCCATTCCACAATCCGAGAAACATACACATACCTTCTCATCTGACGTCAGAATTACAAATATTTTACTAGATGAGACCAGCTAATGGTGTTTTAAATTGCAGAAGTTCATTAGATGAAATTATTGGAATTCACTATATCAGAGCTTAGGGGAAAAAATTAGGGTCTACTGTACTGTATATAAGTCACAAATGACATGAACTACAGAAACGTTAATTTCAGTAAAACATTTTTATTTCCCCGAGCAATTCTTAAAAGCCAGATATCACTCAGCTGAGGAAGTTTTGAAAAGTTTGAGTGGATGTATACTGAATAAGATCTAGTGTAAAATGCCAGCTGAGCTACTGCATGTTGTTGAAGCTGATCCTAAACTTCTCTCTAGATACCAATAGATGAATAAGTAGCTACTAGCAACCAAATGATCTAAACAGGCCAGATGAACTCCTCATTTGTAACTTATTTGTAACTCTATCCTTCTCCTCAGTCATCTTACAGACTACAGCTCAGACAGGTCAGGACCAGTAGGTCTGGGCTACTTCATCAACTGATGGTGACAGAGAATCCCAAACTGATCGGCACAAACCAGGCTTTAATACACCAGGGAGCTGACACTGTTGTCACTGACAGTCAATGCTGACTGTTACAAATACAGTTGGGTTTGCAGTGTGGTTGCTGGGTCCAACATCTCAGAAGAACATATTTTGGATCCTCAACCTTCCCATGCAGGGATAAAGAGTGGAAGCATACTGTAAGAAACATTTCAGTAACAGAGAAGTTACAGGATGATTCATAATTGGAGGGCCAGTAAAGAATTTAATTTATTTTATTTAAAATGAAAGCAGTAGTTGGCACATCAAAATGTGAACAAATAAAACTGAAACAGTACAGTACATCTCATCCAGATTGTTCCAGGATACAGTATATTGTATTTCTTTGACAAAAAACTTTTCAGAAATGCAATACATAAACCATTAAAAGAAATGCTTTATCTTTAGGTGTCTGATGAACTGGCAAGCTGTTAAAGGGCACCCTGGCAGTTAAGGGGACTTCCCAATTATTTTCCCTTTAAACAAGTTTTGCATCATCGAGTATGACCTACAAAAAGGAAAGTACCTGTTTCAGTGATATCTTTAAACCTTTCAACCACCTGTTGCCATACAGCCTTGCAGCTTCCATAGTTAGTTGCCACCGGTGTTTTGAGAAAGAATA